GATGACCTTGTGACACCTTTAACACCGATAGTTGACAAAGGCAGTAAAACTCGTTGAAGTTTTGTCCAATATCCTTACTTAATAGGAGAGTCTGCTTAATGTATTCTTCGGCCATGTCATATTTACCAAGCGATTGGAAACACAAACCTAAATTGTTGTAGTTGAGTACTACTCCTTCTCTCTCACCGATTTCCATGTCAATTGTAAGGGCTTTCTCAAAGTATTCCTGAGCCTTGTCATATTCACCACGCTTAAGAGAGATTAGACCAAGGTGTCTGTAATCTTTTGCTTCTCCGCTTCTATCAGCAATACACTTTCTAACTGCCATTGCCTTCTTAAGATAGTCGTCGGCCTTTGCATACTTGCCAAGTGAGAAAAACAAACTTGTGAGGTTTCCATAGATTGTTGCTTCTCCATTCCTGTCACCAATTTTTATACTGATAGCGAGTGCTTTCTCCTGATATCCTCGGGCCTTGTCATATTGACCAAGTAATTGGAACAAAGTTCCTAGGTTTCCATAGATTGTTGCTTCTCCATTCCTGTCACCAATTTCTATTTTGATAGCGAGTGCTTTCTCATAATATTCTCGGGCCTTTACATATTGACCAAATGATTCGAACAAAGTTCCTAAGTTTCCATAACTTGTTGCTTCTCCATTCCTGTCACCAATTTCTATTCTGATAGCGAGTGCTTTCTCTTGATATTCTCGGGCCTTTTCATATTGACCAAATGATTTGAACAAAGTTCCTAAGTTTCCGTAGCTTGTTGCTTCTCCACTCCTGTCACCAATTTCTATTCTGATAGCGAGTGCTTTCTCTTGATATTCTCGGGCCTTTTCATATTGACCAAATGATTGGAACAAAGTTCCGAGGTTTCCGTAGCTTAATGCTTCTCCATTCCTGTCACCAATTTCTATTCTGATAGCGAGTGCTTTCTCTTGATATTCTCGGGCCTTGTCATATTGACCGAGTGATTGGAACAAAGTTCCTAGGTTTCCGTAGCTTGTTGCTTCTCCATGCCTGTCACCAATTTCTCTTCTGATAGCGAGTGCTTTCTCCTGATATTCTCGGGCCTTGTCATATTGAGCGAGTGATTGGAACAAAGTTCCGAGGTTTCCGTTGCTTAATGCTTCTCCATTCTTGTCACCAATTTCTATTCTGATAGCGAGTGCTTTCTCTTGATATTCTCGGGCCTTGTCATATTGACCGAGTGATTGGAAGCAAGTTCCTAGGTTTCCGTAGCTTGTTGCTTCTCCATACCTGTCACCAATTTCTCTACTGATAGCGAGTGCTTTCTCCTGATATTCTCGGGCCTTGTCATATTGACCGAGTGATTGGAACAAAGTTCCGAGGTTTCCGTAGCTTCTTGCTTCTCCATTCTTGTCACCAAATTCTATTCTGATAGCGAGTGCTTTCTCTTGATATTCTCGGGCCTTTTCATATTGACCGAGAGATTGGAACAAAGTTCCTAGGTTTCCGTAGCTTGTTGCTTCTCCATCCCTGTCACCAAGTTCTATTTTGAAAGCGAGTGCTTTCTCTTGATATTTTCGGGCCTTGTCATATTGACCGAGTAATTGGAACAAAGTTCCGAGGTTTCCGTAGTTTGTTGCTTCTCCATTCCTGTCACCAATTTCTCTACTGATAGCGAGTGCTTTCTCCTGATATTTTCGGGCCTTGTCATATTGACCGAGTGATCCGAACAAAGTTCCTAGGTTTCCATACCTTGTTGCTTCTCCATTCCTGTCACCAATTTCTATACTGATAGCGAGTGCTTTCTCTTGATATTCTCGGGCCTTGTCATATTGACCGAGTGATTTGAACAAAGTTCCTAGGTTTCCGTAGCTTGTTGCTTCTCCATTCCTGTCACCAATTTCTATTCTGATAGCGAGTGCTTTCTCTTGATATTCTCGGGCCTTGTCATATTGACCGAGTGATCCGAACAAAGTTCCTAGGTTTCCGTAGCCTGATGCTTCTCCATTCTTGTCACCAAGTTCTATTCTGATAGCGAGTGCTTTCTCATGATATTTTCGGGCCTTGTCATATTGACCCAGTGACTGGAACAAATTTCCTAGGTTTCCGTAGTTTGTTGCTTCTCCATTCCTGTCACCAATTTCTCTACTGATAGCGAGTGCTTTCTCCTGATATTTTCGGGCCTTGTCATATTGACCGAGTGATCCGAACAAAGTTCCTAGGTTTCCATACCTTGTTGCTTCTCCATTCCTGTCACCAATTTCTATACTGATAGCGAGTGCTTTCTCTTGATATTCTCGGGCCTTGTCATATTGACCGAGTGATTTGAACAAAGTTCCTAGTTCTCCGTAGCTTGTGGCTTCTCCGTTCCTGTCACCAATTTCTATTCTGATAGCGAGTGCTTTCTCTTGATATTCTCGGGCCTTGTCATATTGACCGAGTGATCCGAACAAAGTTCCTAGGTTTCCGTAGCCTGATGCTTCTCCATTCTTGTCACCAATTTCTATTCTGATAGCGAGTGCTTTCTCATGATATTTTCGGGCCTTGTCATATTGACCGAGTGATTCGAACAAAGTTCCTAGGTTTCCGTAGCTTGTTGCTTCTCCATTCTTGTCACCAATTTCTATTCTGATAGCGAGTGCTTTCTCTAAATATTCTCGGGCCTTGTCATATTGACCGAGTGATCCGAACAAAGTTCCTAGGTTTCCGTAGCTTGTGGCTTCTCCGTTCCTGTCACCGATTTCTATTCTGATAGCGATTGCTTTCTCTAAATATTCTCGGGCGTTGTCAAGTTGACCGGATGATCGGAACAAAGTTCCTAGGTTTCCGTAGCTTGTTGCTTCTCCATTCCTGTCACCAATTTCTATTCTGATAGCGAGTGCTTTCTCCTGATATTTTCGGGCCTTGTCATATTGACCGAGTGATTGGAACAAAGTTCCGAGGTTTGCGTAGCTTGTTGCTTCTCCATACCTGTCACCAATTTCTATTTCGATGGCGAGAGCTTTCTCCAGATATTCTCGGGCCTTGTCATATTGACCGAGTGATTGGAACAAAGTTCCGAGGTTTCCGTAGCTTGTTGCTTCTCCATACCTGTCACCAATTTCTATTTCGATAGCGAGTGCTTTCTCCAGATATTCTCGGGCCTTGTCATATTGACCGAGTGATTGGAACAAAGTTCCTAGGTTTCCGTAGCTTGTTGCTTCTCCATTCCTGTCACCAATTTCTATTTTGATAGCGAGTGCTTTCTCTTGATATTCTCGGGCCTTGTCATATTGACCTAGTAATTGGAGCAAAGTTCCTAGGTTTCTGTAGCTTGTGGCTTCTCCATGCCTGTCACCAATTTCTATTCTGATAGCGAGTGCTTTCTCACGATATTTTCGGGCCTTGTCATATTGACCCAGTGACTGGAACAAAGTTCCTAGGTTTCCGTAGCTTGTTGCTTCTCCATCCCTGTCACCAATTTCTATTCTGATAGCGAGTGCTTTCTCTTGATATTCTCGGGCCTTGTCATATTGACGGAGTGATTTGAACAAAGTTCCTAGGTTTCCGTAGCTTGTTGCTTCTCCATCCCTGTCACCAATTTCTATTTTGATAGCGAGTGCTTTCTCTTGATATTCTCGGGCCTTGTCATATTGACCGAGTGATTTGAACAAAGTTCCTAGGTTTCCGTAGCTTGTTGCTTCTCCATCCCTGTCACCAATTTCTATTCTGATAGCGAGTGCTTTCTCTTGATATTCTCGGGCCTTGTCATATTGACGGAGTGATTTGAACAAAGTTCCGAGGTTTCCGTAGCTTGTTCCTTCTCCATTCCTGTCAACAATTTCTATTCTGATAGCGAGCGCTTTCTCCTGATATTTTCGGGTCTCGTCATATTGACCGAGTGATTGGAACAAAGTTCCTAGGTTTCCGTAGCTTGTTGCTTCTCCATGCCTGTCGCCAATGTCTATTCTGATAGCGAGCGCTTTCTCCTGATATTCACAGGCCTTGTCATAATGACCAAGTGATTGGAACAAAGTTCCTAGGTTTCCGTAGCTTGTTGCTTCTCCATCCCTGTCACCAATTTCTATTCTGATAGCGAGCGCTTTCTCCTGATATTCTCGGGCCTTGTCATATTGACCGAGTGATTGGAACAAAGTTCCTAGGTTTCCGTAGTTTTTTGCTTCTCCATTCCTGTCACCAATTTCTATTTTGAAAGCGAGTGCTTTCTCCTGATATTCTCGGGCCTTGTCATATTGACCGAGTGACTGGAACAAAGTTCCTAGGTTTCCGTAGCTTGTTGCTTCTCCATCCCTGTCACCAATTTCTATATTGATAGCGAGTGCTTTCTCCAGATATTCTCGGGCCTTGTCATATTGACCGAGTGATTGGAACAAAGTTCCTAGGTTTCCGTAGCTTGTTGCTTGTCCATCCCTGTCACCAATTTCTATTGTGATAGCGAGTGCTTTCTCTTGATATTCTCGGGCCTTGTCATATTGACCGAGTGATTGGAACAAAGTTCCTAGGTTTCCGTAGCTTGTTGCTTCTCCATTCCTGTCTCCAATTTCTTTTTTGATAGCGAGTGCTTTCTCCTGATGTTCTCGGGCCTTGTCATATTGACTATACGATTGCAACATTACTCCGAGCTTTGCATAACATAGTGCCTGGCCATGTGTGTTTTCCATCGCTTTCATTATTTTAGTTGCTGATTCGTAAAGTTTCCAGGCCTCCATTAATTTACTTTGTACCTGAAGTATTTCTGCCAGGTTTAAATGTAGCCATCCTTTTTCAGCGGTGTCATTAGAGTCTAGGTATAGGAGGAGTTCCCTGAGGTATTTTTCTGTACTTGTGTAATCCTTTATATAAACGTAAGCACAGATTATTTTCCTGTAGATGGCTCGGAACGTAATGTTTGCCAATGAACTATCGATAGCCTGCGGCTGACTGTGTAAGATAATTAAACATTCCTTGTATACCTCGATGGCTTGCAACACGCGACCAGTTTTGTGAAGGAACTCGGCGACCACTACAGCTATGTAGATAGCTGATTCAGCT